GAGGCAGAAACAGATGGATCTCTGTGAGTTCAAGGCCACCCTGGGCTAAATAAGATTGATCCAGTCTAAAAGAGAAACAGAGCCAGGCAGTGGTGGCACACGTCTTTGATCTCAGATCTTGGGATCTCATGCCTTTAATCCCAGCACTAGGGATGTGGAGACAGGAAGTGATATGGCTGGGCGGAGAGAGGAATATAAGGTGGGAGGAGACAGGAACTCAGTCCCTTTCAGGCTGAGGAATCTGAGAGGTAAGAACTCTCTAGTGGCTGCCTCCTTTACTAATCTTTCAGGATTTACTTGATGTCTGGCTCTGGGTTTTTATTATTAAGACCAATTAGGATTTGTGCTACACCTGAAGGATTGGCGTCTTCTTTCTGCTGTTCGCCGTTTGAGTGGTTTCCAGCAGGGCAGCTGCTTCTCTGTCTTTCAGATTTTCCTCTGTCAAGTGGAGAATTCTTGGATCGTTTGAGACATCAGATAGGCAAACGCTCAGAACACACTTGGTGCAGTGACTATCCTGGTCCACAGAAAGTGGTCGGCATGGGCCATCTTGTGACATTATTACAGGCCATGTTTCCACTTTTATTCCGAGGACTCTTTTTTTCAGCTGTGCTCACATTCAAATTTTTTTTTTCTGTGTTCAGCAAGCCTCATGAATTAAGCAACATTTAGTTCTTTATTTTGCTGTGAGCTGTCAAGGCCATATGTGCCTGTCAATCAAACAGCTTGACTGGCAGAAGGGAACAGGTTGATGCTCTAAGGTGATGGAATTCCAGCTCCAAACAAGGACATTTTTCTTTTAGCAAAGTAGGAGGGTGGCTTTACCCCAAAGCTTCCATCAGGAGTTTAGAAATACTGTGTCTGAGTTGGACATGTGAACGCCTATAATGCCAGTGACAGGGGTGAGGTGGAATCAGTAGTTTAAACCCTCAGCTACACAGCAAGTTTTTTTCCCCTTGGTTTTTAGAGACAGTTTTTTTTTTTGTGTGTGTGTCTAATATATATATATATATGTATATATATGTATGTATATATACACATGTGTATATATTATATACACACATATGTATATATACATGTATATGCATGTATACACACATACATATATATACACACACACACAAATCAACAAATATATACTGTCTCTGAGTCGTGACTTCTTTCCCATGCTGGTCTGGTCTCTAGGTTGAGACCCTTATCTAGCCTTCTGATAACTGTCTCACAGATGGGAAATGGAGACCCCTAAAGAACAGGATACTCTGGCTGGCTCCTTCATAGACACACAGACTTATTTGGTGGCCTCAGTTCTCAGAGATGACTAATCAGAAGAGGGCTATCTGGTTACTGGTATTTAACAAACTTCTCCAAAACTCAGGGTCTCAATGACAATAACAACTTATCACTTCTCATGGTTCCCTAGGGAGACAACTCGGTTAGGTGGCTCTCACTGGGGACCCCTCCTGGGGATGTAGTTAGACAGTGACCAGGCTGCAGGCATCTGAAGCCTCGATGGGTGAGCATCCAAGATGGCAGTCACCGGAACCTTGCAGTGAAGGATGGCAGACCAGCATGCTTGCCAATGGATGCTTGGTTCGTATTGTTACTACATTTGCTTTACAGCATGTTGGCTAGGTTCTCAGATGGAACATCTCAAGAGAGACTGACCCAACCAATAAGAAGGAAGCAGAAGCTGCTGGACCAGTGGAGGGCTGAGCATGGACCGGACAGAGCTTCTCATCTGTTACAGTCTATGGACCTTGACCTTGACCCATAGGACATCAAGTAGACGCCACTTCTTGATGCTTCAGGAGGAGGGAAGAGACAGCATCACATGGCCAAGGAGCATGAGGGTGAAATATATTCCAACTGTTTGTGGGAAGGGGAGGCACTTCCCACAGGGCATCTTTTATGTCATTCCTCCTGGAGGTTTGAAATTGTTTGTGGTGATTTGCGGGAGGTAAATGGAACTGAGGTCTTCCCTCCCCAGCCTTGACCACGGGGAGAGGGACATCTGCAGGAAGCCTCACAAAGTGGTTGAGAACCCCTCCACTCTCCAGCATGGAGGAATATTAAGTGTTTTTATTCTTTTTAAAGCCTTCCAGGAGCACTATGTACATACCAGCAAGAATGGGAGGTTTTTTTTTTTTAAACTTGTTTTTAAAAATGTTCATAATAAAACATCCTGTACTTGAATTATTAAAAACAATGTTGAGTAAAGAATTGCCTAATTTAGTAAATAATTTTAAAGCAAGCCGTTATTTTCTCCAAACTTGGGTTTGCTGAAAGCACTCCAAGAATTTTATTACCAGCACGGCCACATGATGCAATTGTGTAATTAGCAATCCATCTGACACTGTTGGAGAGATTTAATTCTACTTAGGGCAAGAACAAAATGCAGTACTTGTTATTTTTTAAGAGTGCACAGGGGACAATGCCCTGCTTAGTTTTTTTTTTCTTTTCCCTTTTCTTCTGCATCCTCCCTTTCCCCCCCCCCCCACTCTACTCCCTTGTCTCACCCTGTGCACACACTCAGGTGTGTCACACAGCGAGGGTGTGGGGGTATGACAACTCAAAGAAGTTGGTTCTCTCCTTCCACCTTGTAGGTTCTGAGAACTGAACTCAGGTCATCAGGCATGGGACCATGAGCCTTTGCCCACTGCGTCCTCTGATTGGCCCAGTGTTTTAGTCTATGATTCTGGAGCCACAGAGAAAATAGCTCCCATTGATTGGTACTAGGTCTATGGATAGAGCACGTGGTTTGGAATTAGACTGACCTATGTTTGACGCCTGGAGCTGCCCTGAGCTACTGGTCATTAAAAAATAAAAATAAAAAAAAAGCAAATCAAATTACAGAATCCAAATTCTTTTTCTATAAAGTGAGAATAATGCCTACTATTGCATGTGGTGGTTTTGCTTTGTAAGTGGAATAATGTCCACAGACAGCCTGGGGCAGGAGCTTGGTGGTTCTGAGAGAGGCTTCTCCTTCTGCCTAAACCTGTTGGGGTATTTGGCTTTGTGAATTATTGTATCAAATGGTCAGTTTAAGATCTATTGCATATGCCAGGAGGTGGTGGTGCACACCTTTAATCCCAGCACTCGGGAGACAGAGGCAGGCAAATCTCTGTGAAGTTCGAGGCCAGCCTGGGCTACAGAGTGAGTTCCAGGAAAGGCACCAAAGCTACACAGAGAAACCCTGTCTCGAAAAACAAAACAAAACAAAAAAATCTATTGCATGTTTGTGTGATGTTATGATGTTTATTCTTCATTGTAGACTGGATTTAGGAGATATGTTTCTGGGGGTGTCTATGAAGGCATTTCCAGAGAGAGTTAACTGAAAAGGAAAGACCACCGCCCCACTATGGGATGGCTCTTGTGGGCTAGATAAAAAGGAAAAAGAGAAAGCTGAATATCAGCCTGTGTGTGTGTCTCTCTCTGCTTTCTGAGTGTGTGTGCAGGGTGGCCAGTTGCCACACACTCCCACTGAGGTACATCCCTCTTGTGATGGACTGTGTCCCTTCAAACTGTGAGCTGAAATAAATGTTTCCGTAAGTTGCTTTGGTCAGGTATTTTTTTTCACAGTAAGAAGAAAAGTAACGAATATAGAATATTTGCTGGAAAACCAGGACTGCCCGTGAGCTAGATGGTCAGTTTTTCCACTCAGAGTGTCTGATCAAGGAATTTACAGCTGGCATGCTTACACCCCATCATCTAAGCTACAATACACACCAAGGATTTTCTTATTTTATTTGGATTTGAAGGACAGAGTAGAATTAGTAGTTGAGGGATCTGATTCTTACAATCTTTCTGTTTCTTCTTCCAAGAATACCCCTGAGCCTCAAGTATGAGTCAAGTGTGGGGTGTCTTCAACAATAGGATCTTACATCAAGTTTTGGAGAGTAATCTATTATGTCTGGGGGGGTCTGTGGGACCTCACCAGCAAATAACTCAAAAAGGGGTAACTCATTCCTGGACATGGAGAGATTTTATTTGCTATTTGGTGTCTAGTTGGAGCATGTCCTTTGAATATAGGACAACTCCATTTGAAGTATTTTCAGATATGTGTATGTATGTACTTTAGGAAGCTTCTGCAATAGTTAAGTTTCCATATTTTACTTTTCAAAGTGGCCTCAATGTCTGCTGCTCCTGTGATGTTTAATCTGTGTGGTCATGTTGGTTGGATTCAGAACCACCTAGGAGATATATCTCTGGCCATGTCTGTAAGGGCATTTCCAGAAAGGTTTAACTGAGGTAGGGAGACCTCTCTTAAATGTGGATGGAGGCATCCCACGGACTGGAGTCCTGGGGTGAATGAAAATGAGAAGGGGAGCTGGGTGCCAGCCTTTATCTCTCTCTGCTTCCTGACCATGGACACAATGTGACAGCTGCCTCATGCTCTCACTACCGTATGTTCCTGCCCCTCCATGAGAGACATGACCTTTCACCTCTAAGCCCAAGGAGGCCTTTCCCCGCTTAAGCTGCCTTGGTCTGGTATTTCGTCACAACGACAAGAAAAACAGAGTCCTCCAAGTGGAAGGAACCAGATTCTGCTAAGCACTCGAGCTTGTAAGGGGACTAGACAACACAGAGTTCTGCCCGTGACACCCTGATCGGAGAGCCCACGGACACCCAGACTTCTGCCCTACAGAATTAGGTCAGAATTAATGTCTGTGTTGTGGGCCGGTTAGCTAGCTGGTGGCAGTTGGTTACAGAGCAGCAGAATCTAACATGCCAGGTAATTCCTCCTGTGCAGTTTCAAGTTGAATCCTCTCTTGTCTTCAGCTGTCAGTTTCTTCGCCTTTGAATCAGAGGATTGTTTAATTCTCATTGGTGTCCTTATTAATTACACATCAAAGTCACTTACAGTCAGCGGGGAAGGCAGATGCAGAACTTTCTCCTGAAGCCCTGCCTCAGAAGGTGTGTGTGTGTGTGTGTGTGTGTGTGTGTGTGTGTGTGTGTGTGTGTGT